AAATGCATGAAAAGAATTTGTTTGCACATAAAATTTCTTCGCGTTTCAAATGCCAAAACACATAACTACCCTAACTATTACAGACATTCCCTCCTGAGTGTGAAACACAGAAGAAAGTGATGATAGTGAAGCCGATCACATCCCAGATCTTTGGGTGTGAAACTTTTTCTTCGCGTGTGTCCCTTTGCGCCGTAACCATGGAAAATCTTCATCATTTAACGGGATGCTCGGGTCAATATTCACTGTGAATGGAGCAATTTCATCAAACTTTTCATAATCTTCTGACTTGTCTGTCTTGTCATCCACTCCCACGATGTTTCTCTTCCTAGAAAGAACTATGTGCCGCTTTGGCTCATCGTACGATGCATTCGCTTCCTTATGTTTTCTTTTTCTTGGCTTGGTAGACATGTCCTTCACATAGAAAACCTGTGCCACATCATTGGCTAGGACGAATGTTCGTCTGCATATGCAAGATTGTTGAGATCCACTGTTGTCATTCCGTACTGCGGGTCTTCCGTTACCCCGCCTCGTGTCATATTGACCCATTTGCACCGAAACAAAGGGACCTTTAAACCACGTCGATAGTCAAGTTCCCATATGTCCTGTATATAACCATAATATGTTTCCTTTCCCGTCTTGGTTTCTGCATCAAAGTGGACACCACTATTATGGTTGGTGCTCTTCTTATCTTGGGCGATCGTGTAAAATGTATTACCATTTATCTCGTACCCTTTGAAAGTCATTATATTCGAAGATGGTAACTGGGACAGCAAGTACATGTCATCTTCAATAGAGGTGTCATGCATGGTACGTGTCTGCAACCAGTTGGCGAAACTCCTAGTTTGTTCATGTGTAATCCAGTCATCAGACCGCTCCGGGTGTTTGGAGCGTAGCAAATTCTTGTGTTCATCCATATACGGAGCCACCAAGGTGGAATTCTGTAGAACTGTGTAGTGTGCTTCAGTGAGAGAATGTCCGTCCATACATATTATTTGTTCCCCTCCTAGCGTGCCTTTTCCATCCAGTCTGCCCTTATGCCGCGATTCAGGAACACCAATCGGCTTAAGGTCAGGAATAAAGTCAATACAAAACTCAATGACCTCCTCATTTTGATGGCCCTTGGAGATGCTTCCTTCTGGCCTAGCACGGTTATGAACATATTTCTTTAAGACTCCCATGAACCTCTCAAAGGGGAACATATTGTGTAGAAATACAGGACCCAAAACGATAATCTCTTCGCATAGGTGAACTAGGACGTGCGTCATGATGTTGAAGAAGGATGGTGGGAACACCAACTCGAAACTGACAAGACATTGCACCAAATCATTCGGTAACCTTGGTATGATTTCTGGATCGATTACCTTCTGAGAGATTGCATTGAGAAATGCACATAGCTTCACAATGGCTAATCGAACGTTTTCCGGTAGAAGCCCCCTCAATGCAACCGGAAGCAGTTGCGTCATAATCACGCGGCAGTCATGAGACTTTAGATTCTGGAACTTTTTCTCTGCCATGTTTATTATTCCCTTTATATTCAACGAGAAGCCAGACGGTACCTTAATACTGAGCAGGCATTCAAAGAAGATTTCCTTCTCTTCTTTGGTAAGAGCGTAGCTTGCATGACCCTGATGTATGTCGTCTTCTCCGTGCATACGTTGCTGGTCCTCCCGTGCCTCAGGTGTATCTTTTGTCTTCCCATACACGCCCAAGAAGCCAAGCAGGGTCACGCAAAGATTCTTCGTCACGTGCATCACGTCGATTGCGGAGCGGACCTCTAGGTCTTTCCAATATGGCAGGTCCCAAAATATAGATTTCTTCTTCCACATGGGTGCGCGTCCGTCCGCGTCCTTCGGAACAGGTTGTCCGCCAGGACCCTTTCCAAATATCACCTTCAAATCCTTGACCATATCATGTACATCAGCACCAGTACGGTGGCGAGGCTTCATCCGGTGATCCGCCTCACCTTTGAAATGCTTGCCTTTCTTTCTTACGGGATGCCTGCTCGGAAGAAATCGACGATGTCCCAGGTACACATTCTTCTTACAACTATTCAAATATATACTGTCGGTATCATCCAAATAGTGCGTGCATCCGCGGTATCCCTTGTTTGTCTGTCCTGAAAGGTTACTGAGAGCAGGCCAATCATTGATGGTCACGAACAGCAACGCCTTGAGGTCAAATTCTTCCCCCATGTGTTCATCCCACGCATGTACACCTGTTCCATTCCACAGTTGTAAGAGTTCTTCAACTAATGGCCTTAGGTACACATCAATGTCGTTGCCGGGTTGCTTAGGGCCTTGGATGAGCACTGGCATCATAATGAACTTCCGCTTCATGCACAACCATGGAGGAAGATTATACAAACATAGAGTCACAGGCCAGGTGCTATGGTTGCTGCTCTGCTCCCCAAAAGGATTAATGCCATCTGCGCTTTACGCTCCTTGCGTCATCTGCAAACTCCTTCCCGTACTTTCTTTCGATTTTTCTCCACTGCGACCCGTCAGCGGGTACTCTCAACTTTCCGTCTTTCTTACGGTCTTCTCTGTGCCATTGCATCGCCTTGGCATGCTCTTTGTTTTGGAACAAACATTTCAACCGTGGTATTATAGGAGAATACCACATCACCTTGGCAGGAATCTTCTTCCTGGGGCGCTCGCCCTCGACAACACCAGGCTCATCGCGGCTGATCTTATAGCGCAATGCACCACATACCGGGCAAGCGTTCAAATCCTCGTACTCACCGCGGTAGAGGATGCAATCATTAGGGCATGCATGTATCTTTTGCACCTCTAACCCTAGAGGGCAGACAGCCTTCTTTGCTTCGTACGTACTCTCGGGTAATTCGTTGTCCTTTGGAAGCATATCCTTTATCATTACCAGCAACTTTCCAAATCCCTTGTCAGATACACCATTCTCTGCCTTCCATTGCAGCAATTCCAGTGTGGTGCCCAACTTTTTCTTGTCACCTACGCAATTCGGCCTCTAACATGCGCTGCAACTTCTTCTTCTCCAAATCACTTGCGCAGTTTCTCTTTGCATCGGCAATGGCCCGACCTAGATCATCAACGGGCTCATCTGATGCCTCTTCTTCAGCTTCTTCCCGCATTGCCGGCTCAGCTTCTTCCCGCATTACCGGCTCAGCTTCTTCCCCCATTGTTGTATCATCGTATTCAGGGAACCCATGGCCAGGATAGCTGTCGTCGTCCTCTTCTTCTTCATTGTCTTCCATCATAACCCCCTCTTTCTCCGTGCTTGGTCCAAACATTATAGTGGAGCATGAAACCGGACTCAAACAGGTGGACGCGAATGGTTCTTGACGTAGAGTAATTGCGATCATTCTTACAGACAGCACATGGACAAGGCATAAAACCATCCGCCCGCTTGTTTGCCTCAGCCGCAAGCAGAAAAGTATGCACGCCCTCAACGAACTGGGGAGAGCATCGGTCATCGTACATCCATTGCCGGCTCATCTTCATTGCACAACACCGAATAGACCAAAAGTTCATACATAAAGTTCATACAACACTTAAATGCAACAAACAAATAACTCTCTAGCTAAAGCATTTAAATGCAACAACAAATGCGATCAAGGTCGCAACTAAGGTAACAATTGATCCAACAGCATAATGATACCAAGCCTCACTATCGATGGCATATTTTCTAATCTTTCTATTCTTCAAGCGCATTTTCTCCATCTTGATCTTGTGATCATCGACGACATCGGCAACATGCAACTCCAATTCCATCTTCTCCCCCTCAATTCTTTTCAATTTTTCTTTCAAGTACTCGTTTTCTCTTTCAACTAAATTTAACCTCTCGACAATAGGGTCAGTTGGAATTTCCGGTTCACATACCTCCTAGATAAAAATATCTATGTCAACTTGATGGGCATAATTTGTCATAAACACGAAATGCAACTAATAGTTTTAAAAGAGAATATATCACATCCGAATCATAACAAGGACGAGGGCCGACGGGGACGGATATCAAAACCATGGCACTATGTATAACAAATAATGTACGGGTAAGATAATTATTACATGATTAACTATATATCCAAATCAGACAAACATCAATTTTTTATATAAAATTACATGAACAAGAGGCTCACCACAAGATGGTGCCGGTGACGGGACGGTGCGGGCGATCGACGGTGGTTACGACGGAGATTTAGAAGGCACTAAGTAAACCACACCTACATATGCAAACTAAGTGTTATTTTTGACCTCAAATTGCATATAAATCAAATACTAGCACATATATATATTTCCTCCCAAATTACTAAACTCACAAATTAGTAACTATACAAAGCATGGGAAGAGCTAATCTAGCAATGAGAGTTGAAAGGACAAAGTTGCTAACCTTTGTGATCATTTGAATGGATGGGGGCCTTCAAATCTTGACAAATTTTGGGTAAAATTTGTGAGGAGCTCGAGGGGAAAGGGGAAGAACACAGGAGAAGTGAGGGGAAAGGGGAAGAACACAGGAGAAGTGAGGGGAAAGGGGAAGAACAGAGTGGCTCGGGTGGACGAAGGGTTTATGTACGTGCACCTTTAGTACCGGTTCGTGGCACGAACCGGTACTAAAGGTGCTGGAGGGGGCCCAGACTAACAACATCCTGCCACCACCTTCAGTAGTACCGGTTCGTGGCACGAACCGGTGCTAAAGGTTAGACACGAACCGGTACTAATGAGAGCGGTCCGGCTAGCCGTTGGAACCGGCACTAATGTATACATTAGTGCCGGCTCTAATACAAACCGGCACTAATGTGCTGCACGTTTGACCCTTTTTCTACTAGTGGTGGCGGGCATAGTCTGGTTCCGTGGCTCTGGTTGGTTCAGTAAGGTACGCGTTGCCTTGCAATCAGCTCCGGTGTCTGGGTACACGCATTCACCAGGCTCATATAATCTGTATATTGCCTTAGTTTCCTACCAAGTTCATGATAGATTCTGATTCTTGCTCCCAGGCTTATGTTGAAGTGTCTTTCATTCAACAGATACCTGCAACGAAGGCTGCAAATGAAGAGCTGAAAAGGATGATGAAGACTGTGAGGATTGAAGACATGGATGTATGCAGCATCCTGTTGTTTACTAGATTGTTTTCAAGATATATGGACGTGAGCAATGTAAGACGAGATGATGGATCTTATGGATGTCAGCAAGGTCCCACATGACATCTATGAGGAGGAGCCACTTCTATTTGAATTTCATAGTTGAGTCTGGTCCAGCAAACTCTCCAATTTATATCAGTCTTAGATTTCTTCTGAAAATTTCTTTGGCACTTTTGCAAAACTTCAGTAGTTTTCTGTCACGCACATGTTAATTTAGAGACAAGACAGTTCTCTGTATGATGTTCTCAGTTTTTAGGTTGAAAAATGCAGAACTTGATGCTTTGGAAGCTGATATGGACTTCGAATCAACTCAGTCCCATCGTACCTCCAACCACACAAGGCGACTGATCTTTATTCTGAGCTTAACTATCCTGCTGCACCAAGTGGTCATGCAGCAGTCCCGGCAAACCAGCAACAGGTATGTCAATTGCGAGACTGACTAGTTTCTATTCACATTCATTATGGTGCTGATATCCCAAGGAAGAAATCGGTGACTCGTGTCATTTTCCCATGCAATCAGAGTGCTTGAAGCTATAAAAAGGTGTCTTTTATCTTGTCATATGATCTAATTGAAAGGTATTTCTTAACCCATAAATCGTGAAGTTCAGTCTTAATTTCATTCTACATATCTACATTGTTGGTGTGAACAATTGAGCTTATCCTATCTTGATCTTACTAGTAAAAGAAACACACAGAAGGGGAACATAAAAACCATTTTCATGCCAAACATCTGTTGTATAATGGATTTGACCTTGAACTTTGAAATCTCTGTTGAACATCTCAAACGAAACATACTTTAATTTGCTTGATTGATTCCCCCTGATTGTCTACACTTGTCAGCCTGTAGACTAATTTGCTGTGCTACTTTTGTCTGATGGCGCAGGAGGATGAACTGGGACTGTCTTAAGTGCCGCACGCATCAATTCTACCTGAAAACTAACCGAAAAAGCTGCGTTATAGGTTTGATCTCGTCGTAAATAGTCGATGCTTTGTTTATGCACTGACAAATTCATCTTTCCTCATATACCATATATAGCGGTTTGTCGAACGATGAAATGTCTCTTCCCCATTGTGTTGGACTAGTAGTGAGTGATAAAGGAAGTGTTCTCTATATGGTTGCACATCCTGTGGCTAGTATGTCTTTGTTGAGTTGAATTCGTATCTGATTTTCTGATAATGAAATTATGGGACATTGCTGGTTCTCAGGCTGTCAGTCATGCCTTTTTCCTACCATCTCGTCTCATACTTTGTTAAGTTTGTATTATGCATGAAGAAAAAGAAGGTTTTATCTGTTGGAAATATGAGCAATTTACCAAATGATTTTATTAACAGAAATAGTAGATAAAGCATGACTAATATAACAGTGATAAAGCAAGTCATGCGATTTGACAAAGAGAAGGTAAACAACATCGGCATATATAATCTAGAACTGATCATCTCTAGAGCAGACAGTAGATCAAGATGCATAAGAGATAAGGTAAACATCGTCTGCATATATGAGTTTGAGCTAAACACATCTAGAACAGACACTAGATGAAGTTGCTTATACGACATAGAACCTAACATATGTAGGGCAGAAACTAGAGCCGAGAACTGTAGTAGGACTTCTAACAGGAAGGAGAAGAACACGTACGGCACAGCAGCAGCAGAAGCGCTAGACTTGGGGTCGGTGTCCTCGCCTGCCATGTCGTCGAGGAGATCGTGGACGTCGGGGAAGTAGTCGTCGGCGACCGGATCGTCCGTGATGAAGCAGCCAGTAGTCGCGCAGAGCGCTCCCCAAAAACCTTATCACCCTTCTCCCGTACAGGACTCAAAGAGTGCGGTTTCGGAGGCCTACTGTCCCGACTCGCGGTGCACGCCGCAAGCCGGGATGAGGAAGACAGCGGTAGCTCAGGGAATGGAACCGGTGGCGAGAGGAAGGAGAAGTTCTGGTGCGTCTCTCTGAGAGGAGCGACCTCCCTTTTATAGGCGCAAGAGAAGGAGGCGAACAGGCTGCGGCGGGAGGTGAAGCAATGGAGGGAGACGAAACGAATAGGCAGCACGCGAAGAGGTGCGCGCCGTTCGTTCGTATTCACGCTCCACTACAGCAAAACGTTTCAGCTCCCGTGTGACCGTTTGTATACCCGTCGTGCGTGGAAAAAATTTAGACATCGGCTCGGCTCATTCCCGCAACCCGCGGCGCGGCGTGACGAGGCGGGCGGCGGAGGAGGAGCGCGCGTGGATGTCCCTCTTGTTCTCATGCTCATACAAGTGGGGAAGGAGCCTCCCTTATAAGGAGGTCCAACTCCCTCTAAACTAGCAATGTGGGACTAAACTTTAGTAGTATCCCTTGCCTTGCACAAATGGGCTAAGTGGGCCTCTAGGATTTATTAGGAATTTCTGAAATAGTTATTGGGCTGCCCCAATATAGACTAAATTCCAGCAATCCGCCACCAGATCCCAGAGGCACACAGAAATTTGCCTTTGGTTCCAAAACACTGTTTTATATACCGGTACTGCAGTGGAGACTGTTAAGTTGAACTTCCACCTAGAACTCTATGCTACACTAGTAAGCAACTTGAACAGTGGACTGGGCCTTGAACCGCAAGTTTTTTGCGAATCTAGCTTCACATAAAGCCTTGACCGATACGTGGCTACCATGGGTCTTCCCTGCGGGTGGAGCTTATGCGTCATACTCCGTGACCTTTCATGAGTTTACTAGAGAGAACCCTACTCTCATAGATTGCGACGTTTGACAATCAGACTCATATAGGTATGTTCTTCAAAAGATGTTCTGCAGGACAACATCTCTACTTCAAAGAGCCACTTAGAACACATTAAGATATACATCAGCCTGCCATGCAGATTAGGAGAGTATTGCATCTTCATGGAGTGGTATTTTAATAGTAAGGATACTCTCCTCCCAGTTGACCAACAGCTTGTCTTCCACATCTAATTCATGGGATCTCCGATCACAAAGAATAGGTTACCACTGTGAACAACTCATATTGTGGGTCTCATACCCATCTCCCTCGATGCATTATCTATCACATTACGTGATAAACCCTTAGTAAAAGGATCTGCCAGATTTTTAGACGTTTGGATATAATCCAACGCAATAACTCCAGAGTTTTTCATTTTCCTGACAGACTTTAACCTTCTCTGAATGTGTCTTGATGACTTCATGTTATCCTTAGAGCTGTTCACTTTCGTGATCATAGTTTGATTGTCACAGTTCATAAGGATACCCGGTACATGTTTCTCAACAACCGGCAAGTCATTCAAGAGCCGGCGAAGCCAATCTGCTTCGACCGTAGCTGTATCTAGTGCTGTGAGTTCTCCTTCCATAGTTGACCTCGTTAAGATGGTCTGCTTGCAAGACTTCCAAGAAACAGCGCCACCTCCACGAGTGAACACATATCCTCTCGTGGCCTTTATCTCATCAGCATCTGAGATCTAGTTTGAGTCACTATACCCTTCAAGCACCTTTGGGTGCCCAGTGTAGTGAATTTCATAATTTATAGTGCCTTTCAAATAACGCAAAACTCTCTCTAGAGCTTTCCAATGCACATCTCCTGGTTTTGAGACAAACCTGCTCAGCTTGCTAACAGCAAAAGAGATGTCAGGTCTTGTAGCACTGGCTAAGTACATAAGCGAGCCAATAATCTGAGAATACTTCAATTGATCTCTAGCAATTCTTCGATTCTTTCGAAGCAGCACGCTAGCATCATATGGTGTTGGAGAGGGCTTGCAGTCACTGTAGCCAAAGCGACTCAAGATCTTTTCCACATAGTGAGATTGAAGCAATATAATCCCACCATCAACGTCTCTCAACAACTTGATGTTCAGAATGACATCAGCCACTCCTAAATCCTTCATCTCAAAACAACGAGATAGGAAATCCTTGACCTCCTTAATAACATTCAGATTTGTTCCGAAAATCAGTATGTCATCAACATACAAGCAAAGCATAACTCCCTCGCCCCCACCATGGCGATAGTACACACATTTGTCAGCTTCGTTCACAACAAAGCCTGCAGCTGTTAAAGTTCTTTCGAACTTCTTGTGCCACTGTTTGGGTGCTTGCTTGAGTCCATACAAAGACTTCAGCAACTTGCACACTTTCCCTTCCTGACCATCTATTACAAACCCATCTGGTTGTTCCATATAAATTTCCTCATCCAACTCTCCATTTAGGAAAGCAGTCTTAACATCCATTTGATGAACGAGAAGACCATGTGAGGCAGCTAGTGAAAGTAGAACTCGAATAGTGGTCAGTCGAGCCACAGGTGAGTAAGTATCAAAGAAGTCTTCACCTTCATTTTGGATATAACCCTTAGCCACAAGCCGAGCCTTGTACTTTTCAAAAGTACCATCAGGCCTAAGCTTCTTCTTGAATACCCATTTGCATCCTATAGGTTTGCACCCATAAGGACGATCAGTTATCTCCCAAGTTTCATTTGCCAAGATGGAATCCATCTCGCTACGAACTGCTTCCTTCCAGTAGTCAGCATCTTCAGATGCATGGGCCTCTGAAATAGAACTGGGAGTGTCATCTATGAGATACACAAGAAAATCATCACCAAAGGACTTTGCAGTCCTCTATCTCTTGCTCCTAGTAGGAACTTCATTGTTCTCCTCCACATGACTTTCAAAGTGTTCCATCGAAATGGCAGGTTCAGTAATTGTAACTGGTTCCTGATTCGATGAACTAGGCATCTCCTGATTAGATGAGGTAGCCATATCCTTCATGGGAAAGATATCTTCAAAGAAAGTCGCATCATTCGACTCCATGATCGTACCAACGTGCATGTCCGGTACCTCAGATTTTACAACCAAGAATCTATAGCCAATGCTATGAAAAGCATATCCCAGGAAAACACAATCCACAGTCTTTGGTCCAAGCTTCCGCTTCTTTGGAATTGGAACATTGACTTTCGCCAAACAACCCCATGTTCGCAGATAAGAGAGTTTTAACCTTTTCTTCTCCCATTCCTCGAATGGAGTTATCTCTTTGTTCTTTGTGGGGACTCGATTTAGGACATGACATGCTGTCAATATCGCCTCCCCCCACCATGCCTTGGAGAGACCCGATGTGTCTAACATGACGTTAACCAAATCAGTTAGAGTACGGTTCTTTCTTTCGACCACCCCATTTGACTGAGGTGAGTAGGGAGGCGTCCTCTCATGGATTATACCATGTTCCACACAAAAAGCATCAAATTCATTGGAAAAATACTCTCCACCACGGTCGGACCTAAGCCTCTTGATTTTTCGATCAAGTTGGTTTTCCACTTCAGCTTTATAGATCTTGAAAAAGTTCAAAGCCTCATCCTTAGATTTCAGAAGATACACACAGCAGTATCTAGTGGAGTCGTCAATTAACGTCATGAAATATTTCTTTCCACCTTTTGTCTAAACACCATTCATTTCACATAGATCTGAATGTATAAGTTCTAGTGGTGCAAGATTTCTCGTCTCCGCAGTCAGGTGAGATTTACGAGGTTGCTTAGCTTGCACACACACACTTGACACTTAGATCCCTTAACGGTGGTAAAACTAGGGATTAAGTTCAACTTCGCTAGTCGCGACATGCAACCAAAGTTAACATGACAAAGTCGTGAATGCCACACATTTGATTCACTATTGTTGCAAATATGATTAACAACTTTATTGCAAACATCTGATAAGGATAAACGAAACAGGCCTCCTGACTCATAGCCTTTACCAACAAAGGTTTCATACTTGGATATTACAAATTTATTCGACTCAAAGACAAGCTTGTAGACATCTCTACACAGAAGAGATCCGCTAACAAGATTTTTATTGACGGAGGGGACATAATGCACATTCTTCAGCCGCACGATCTTCCCCGAAGTAAACTTCAGATCGACCGTGCCAACACCACGAACAGAAGCACTTGAACCGTTGCCCATCAGCATGGTTGAAGTCCCTGCGGTCTGATAAGACGAAAACATGGAAATATCACCGCATACATGCACATTAGCACCTGTGTCAATCAACCAATCAGGAGAATGACATACTGAAAGAATAGTGGGAAATATACCATACCCAACATCCTTCATGTCAATGTCTCCGATAACAACATTAGCGGTCTTGCCGCCTTTCCCAGGATGACGCTTGTCATAGCGATTGGGGCAACTAGGAGCCCAATGATCAGGATCTCCACACACATGACAAGCATCTTTCTTCTTGTCATTCTTCTTCTTGAAGTTCGTGTGCTGCACAGCCTTGTTCTTCCCATCAAACTTGCCCTTGTTCTTGAACTTGTGGGACTGGAAGTTTTTCTTCTGTACCAGATTGGCACTAGATCCTCCCTCAATACCTCGAGCACGTGTGTCCTTTGCTCTCGCCTTTTCTCCCACATCAAGAGTGCCAATGAGATCCGGGACGGAAAACTCCTGCCTCTTATGCTTCAGCAAGGTAGCAAAGTTCCTCCACGAAGGAGGAAGCTTAGTGATGATACCCCCGGCAACAAACTTGTCCGGCAGGATACAATTGAAGTGCTCAAGTTCTCTAGCAAATGACTGTATCTCGTGAGCCTGCTCAACCATGGAGCGCTCTTCAGTCATCCTGTAATCATAGAATTGCTCCATGATGTACATCTCAGTGCCGGCATTCGAGACCCCAAACTTGGCCTCGAGTGCGTCCCACATATCTTTTCCATTGTCAATTGACTCATAAGCATCAACTATGTTCTCACCAAGAACACTCAAGAGAGCAGCCTTAAACAAGGTATCCATTTTCTGAAAAGCTTGTGCCTGTTGGGCATCTTGATCTCCTTCAGGTTTGCCAAGAGTGGCGTCATAGCAACTCATGGTTTGAAACCATAAGACTGCTCTCACGCGCCACCTCTTATAGTGGATACCCTCAAACATAGGAGGTCTCATGGAAGCAGCAAAACCATTCGAGGTAAATTGCCTAAAATAAGGTTTTTGGATTGTTGGAAATATGAGCAATTTACCAAATGATTTTATTAACAGAAATAGTAGATAAAGCATGACTAATATAACAGTGATAAAGCAAGTCATGCGATTTGACAAAGAGAAGGTAAACAACATCTGCATATATAATCTAGAACCGATCATCTCTAGAGCAGACAGTAGATCAAGATGCATAAGAGATAAGGTAAACATCGTCTGCATATATGAGTTTGAGCTAAACACATCTAGAACAGACACTAGATGAAGTTGCTTATACGACATAGAACCTAACATATGTAGGACAGAAACTAGAGCCGGGAACTGTAGTAGGACTTCTAACAGGAAGGAGAAGAACACGTACGGCACAGCAGCAGCAGAAGCGCTGGACTTGGGGTCGGTGTCCTCGCCTGCCATGTCGTCGAGGAGATCGTGGACATCGGGGAAGTAGTCGTCGGCGACCGGATCGTCCGTGATGAAGCAGCCAGTAGTCGCGCAGAGCGCTCCCCAAAAACCTTATCACCCTTCTCCCGTACAGGACTCAAAGAGTGCGGTTTCGGAGGCCTACTGTCCCGACTCGCGGTGCACGCCGCAAGCCGGGATGAGGAAGACAGCGGTAGCTCAGGGAATGGAACCGGTGGCGAGAGGAAGGAGAAGTTCTGGTGCGTCTCTCTGAGAGGAGCGACCTCCCTTTTATAGGCGCAAGAAAAGGAGGCGAACAGGCTGCGGCGGGAGGTGAAGCAATGGAGGGAGACGAAACGAACAGGCAACACGCGAAGAGGTGCGCGCCGTTCGTTCGTATTCACACTCCACTACAGCAAAACGTTTCAGCTCCCGTGTGACCGTTTGTATACCCGTCGTGCGTGGCAAAAATTTAGACATCGGCGAGGCGGGCGGCGGAGGAGGAGCACGCGTGGATGTCCCTCTTGTTCTCATGCTCATACAAGTGGGGAAGGAGCCTCCCTTATAAGGAGGTCCAACTCCCTCTAAACTAGCAATGTGGGACTAAACTTTAGTAGTATCCCTTGCCTTGCACAAATAGGCTAAGTGGGCCTCTAGGATTTATTAGGAATTTCTGAAATAGTTATTGGGCTGCCCCAATATAGACTAAATTCCAGCAGTATCTTTGTTCCATGAAAATCTCGCCAATCAGTGCTTGAAATTAAGTGTAGCAGTAAATTATCTATTGCTTCCCAAGGACAAGGACTACTTATGCTCCATCCTAAGGACAAGGACTACATATGCGTGCCCTACAATCCTCCGTAAGCTCTTTTTACCTAGTACTGTTGTACTTTTCTTGTTTTATGCACCTATATCTGCGTGTTCACATTCATTTGTTCCATTTATGCATCGAACACTTGATCATTGTGATCGTTCCTGCTTGGTACAAGGTATTTTACTTTGATACCCAGAGGACAATAAAGCGGGATGACATGCTAACGTGTCAGTTTTGGATTCCATTTTTTCACCTTCAGGTTCATGGAAGCAATAATAAGGAAAAGGACTGCATACTTCTGCCCTACAACCCTCTGTAAGTCCTTTTACTGAGTATATTGTGCTACTTCTCTTTTTTTATGCATCTACTCTCCAATGTGCTTACATTCATTTCTTCCTGTTTATGCATTGTGATTGTTCCTCCTTGGTCTAAGATATTTGATCTTGATTCCCATATGGAATAAATAAAGCAGGACTACATTTATGTTCGTGGGAGCAATAGTAGATAAAAAGGGACAAATATTATGACACATTTCAAGTACCCTGCAGACAACAGCCAAAAGAAAGTGTCACATGTGGATACTATGTCTACAGTATAGTCTTTAACAAATATAAGCAACCCGCAAACCAACTGTTATTTATGCATTGTAAGAAATCAGCAAGCGAACAAACAGAGAAATATCAGGACTAGACACATTTTTACGTGGAAAACCCTTGCGGGAAAAGCCACGGGCGCACAACAGTGATCTTTGTTGTATCAGAATAGTCTACAAATATATAGACTTACAATGAGTCGTCAACTCATCCTGTGGGGCATGTCATGTCATATGGCATACAAGAGGTATATATAGGTGGTGTATGAGTGACTTGAGTAAAAAAAGTCAGAAATTTGAATCGACCTCTGCTTCGGTAGACCCTGGTTTCTCACTAGGATTCAGACCTTGTGTCAACATGCATCCCTTGCTGTAATGTAAGTGCACTGAAAGGCACGGTAGTTGAACTAGAAGATGGCTGGATGAGTGTTTGGTATGCCTCCTGCATGGTTGGCCTTCCTTGGGGAGAAGATTCCAAACAAGATAAGGCCAGCTTGATGAGCAGAGCTAAGCTATTCTCTTCAGTTGATATTGGCGCCGTTGGCCGTTGGTCCAGAATATCTTTCACCATCATTGATTGTTCGCCGTTAGAAAGACTACCATCTAATAAATCCCTTGGATGCTTCCCATCACTAGCTCTAACACAACCACCCCAAAGCTATAAACATCACATTTCTCTGTCGCAACAGATGTGTACGACAGTTCTGCACAAAAACGTCGAAAACATTAGAATTAGGAACAAATGGATAGAGACGAAGGCTTCTGATGTGAAAAACATGGTTATACTAGTACATACCAAGAGCTATGTAGCCAAACGTTCCTGCTAGTGCACTCCAGTTTGTCGAATCGGGCTTAAGAATCCTTGCCGTGCCGAAATCCGAGACAAAAGCCTTGAAGGATGTATCAAGTAAGATGTTGTTGCTTGTGATATCTCGATGGATTATAGGTGGACTGCATTCGTGGTGCAAATAAGATATTGCTTGAGCCACATCAGTTGCAAGAGCAATTCTCTTCTTCCAATCTAATTCCTTTGCTAGCTCCTCATTTTCCAATATTCCGTGGAGGCTTCCCTGCTGAATGTAGTCGTTCTAGAAATTTATACACTGGATGGGAGCAGAATCCATACATTTTGACAATGCTTCGTTGTCGGATCTGTGTTAAGATTTCCATTTCACTACAAAATCTTCTTTCATCATCCAACTCTTCGGTCTGATGAGGCTTCTTCACAGCAACTAGCTGCCCATCTTGGAGTTGTGCCTTGTAGACTTTGCCGTATCCTCCTGTTCCAATGATCTACTTATCATCAAAGTCTTCTGTGGCCCTTACAATATCGTCAAATGCTAATCTTCCATCAAAATTCCAAACAGAGAATAGGTCCCTTGCTTCAGCGGTAACACTCTCTTGTGGTTTTCTTTCCTTACGAGTAAGTATTATTATGACAACAATTGCAGCAACAATGACGAAACCCATCACAAGAACAATTGGCAAAAGCAAACCAAGTATCTTCCCCTTTTTGTGAGCAGCTACTGGGGTTGAATAACAAGGTGGCAGGCCAGGGAGGTTGCCACACAGACCTTTATTGGGAAGAAACCAACTTGCTGAAGCATTTGGCAGTAGCTGTGTGGTTGGGACCAGTCCTTCCAAGTCGTTGTAGGACACATCAAGTGTTGAAAGGCTCATCATGCTTGCAAAGGAGGATGGAATGCTGCCACTGAACTGATTATGTGATAAATTCAGAAATTCTAGCATCTCCAACTTCCCAAGTTGCTGCGGCAACACACCACTGAGGTTATTGTTGCTCACATCTAACATGATTTGCAGGCCTGCTAAATTTCCAACCGCACCAGGCAAACTCCCACTGAAGCTGTTGTTGTTGATCTTCAAGAACTGTAGTTTCATACAGGCCCCTAGTTCCCCAGGTATCAATCCACTCAATCTGTTTCCAGATATATCAAGGTATCCTAGATTGCTCAGCTTTTTAATTTGTGTAGGTATGTATCCAGATAATTGGTTCGATGATAAGTTCATTTTATATAGATTTGCTAAACTGCAGATTTCTGGTGGAATCTCACCGCTGAGATGATTAGAACTGAGTGTTAGCTCTACTAAATTGGACAATTTGGAAAGGATCGGAGGTATGGAACCCGTGATCATATTTTGTGCTAGACGTAGTACCGTTAGCTGGGTACATGCACATAGATTTGGTGAGATCTGCCCAGAGAGTCTATTTGATGTCAAGCTCAGCTCTGTGAGTTGTGGATACACACCAAAATGCTGAGATATATCTCCTGTTAGTTGGTTCTTCGCAAGGGAAATTTCAACCAAACTCGTACATGTCTTTAAACTACTAGGAATAGGGCCATTGAACATATTACGAGCGACTTCGAGAATTTGAAGTCTGCCACCTGAACATATATTTGCAGGTAAAGGTCCTGAAAGTGAGTTGTTCTTCAACCCAAGTCTAACAAGGCTTGTGAGATTTCCAAATTCTCGAGGAAGAGAACCTGATAATTTGTTATTAGAGATTGACAGTAGTTGCATGCTTTGCAACTTACCAAAAGTTTTCGGTATAGATCCCGAAATTTGGTTCAGATCCAAGTATAAATATTGGAGGTTCATCAGATTGCCAATTTCCTGGGGGGATGAAACCGGTTATCTGATTTTCAGAGAGGGAAAGTTGTACTAGCTTGGTTAAGTTTCCTAAGATGCCAGGAATAGAGCCAGATATTTGGTTGTCATCCAGTTCTAAATCCTGGAGATTTAGCAAGTATCCCAATTCTAAAGGTATTGGACCCGTGATTTGATTTGTATAGAGATAAAGAGAATTTAGCATAGTGAGGTTGCCAAGTTCTAGGGGCATTGAACCTGTTATTTGATTTTTTTTGAGTTTAAGGATGTTTAGCATATCGAGGGTGCCTAGTTCTGGGGGTATTGGACCTGTGATTTGATTTTCATTGAGATAAAGTGTGTTCATCTTAGTGAGATTGGTTATGGAGATTGGAATTGGACCTGAAAAATCATTTTTACAAAGAATAAGAATTTGCAAATGGACTAGTCTGCCTAGTACTTGGGGTATAGGCCCTGAAAGTTGATTACTAAACAAGTCCAAATGATATAGCTGGGTCAGGTTTCCAAGGGTTTTTGGTATCATGCCGCTTAAGGTGTTGTTGCTTAGCTGTAGAATTTGTAGGTTGACAAGCCTCCCAATCTCCTCAGGAATGGGACCTGATACCATGGTTTGGTGAATGGTAAGATTAGTTAACATCGTGAGGTTGCCTAAAGACGCAGGGATATGTCCTGCGAGTCTATTGAATGAGAGATCAAGCCATCTGAGACTTTGCAGGTCACCAATCTCATGAGGAATTTTCCCTGTGAGCTGGTTGTATGGAAGTTTAAGTACCAAAAGTGCTGACAGGGAGTTGATACTAGGGGGCAGTGCACCATGGAAACTGTTGTTCGTAAGGTCAATGTATGCGAGGAACGGAAGAGCCGAGAAGTTGAGCTCACCAAGCTGGCCACGGATGCCAGCATCTGGCAAGGAGATGTTGGTCACCACCCAGGGCATGCGGCGGCCATGGGGAACAGCCGTGCACATGATGCCCGTCCAGTTGTAGGGGCTGGTGTTTTCCTGCCAAGAACTCATCTGCAGCGGTGGGGTTGCAAGTGTTGCTTTCCAGTGGAGGAGGGCCATGTGTTGAGACCTCAGAGAGATCCCTCCATGGCGCGCGGCACACGCTTCTTCCAGGAGAAGACACAGCACCAGCAATAGGCGAAGGTACAACAATGGTCGCATTTTGCTGCCCAGTTTTTGCATCTCAAATATCAGTAATGTGTTTGGTTGGGGATGTGATTCAATAGAGAATGCAACTCTGCCGATGCCTATTTAATAGTGTTTCGTCCATTATTATGAGGTCCTGAGTCAACCCACAACAATTGAGTGGAAGGTTTTTTCTTCGGAAGGGAGTTGAGTGGAAGCTGCTGTGGATGACTATTCTTCAGTGTGTGTCGCCATCTTTGACTGCTCTTGTTCGGATGCTAGCACACCCCTTTGGCAGCTGCTACTGCTGTTGAAAAATGACACAGGAATTATGAAAGCAATTGAAGGCAGGGTACCCACGGCGTATGCCTAGTCATATCTTTCCCCCTCCGTCTACAACATATGTACTGAATGGACTCGAGTTAACATTGCGGTAGAGTTTCCATTTTATGGTATCTTCTGTGATTGGTTTCACAGTAATTTTTTTTTTTGGTTTATTTGAAACTTGAAACTGCTTCATTTATGGCAACGCCTTAAATAAATTGAACCAGCTTGTCTTAAGCTATTCTCTAAAATGTTTCCCTTTTCTCTTTGAAATAGATCATGCGATTTAGCTCAAGAACTTGTGACTGGAGGCAGTGGCTGCAGCGTTTATTGAATTGTGGTCAAGACAAATCCTGGACCGCAGGTTTTGCTGGAAGTCATGTGTGAGGAAAATGCTGCAGCTTTTGTGGAATTCAAGCTCAAGATGAAGCAAAAGGAAAACCAAACTCAAGTGGCAAATCCTAACTAAACCCCGCAGAGAAAAGTAGGCAGGCACCTGACCTGTGGAAAATAGGTACAAGGAAACTGAAGAAAAATTCCAAGCTCAAGTGGAGTTTTGGAAAGCTAGGAATGATCTCCTTTTTTCTTTTAAAAAAAATAGAGTCTTATGCAGGTGATATTTCCTACTAAATGCTTGAGTTCATTGATTTGAATTTGGATGTTCAACGATTCGTTGGTACCAAAAATTCAGCGAATCGTTGTTACAATGATAAATGGAGTCTTATGCAGGTGATATTTTCCTACTAAAGGAGAGGAATTTCTGTACGTCTGCCCATGTACCAACTGGACATCCTGTCGTTTCCATGTCTGTGAGGGCACAATCTGAGTTGAATTTTGATGGATTTGTTAGGTTGAATTGGTATCAACTTCTCTTATCAGTATATATACACATGACAGACAGGAGAAAGCAAGCACTGAATTCTCAAGGCTGGTGGTTTGGCTTTACAGTAAGACTGCTCTGCTTGTGCTTTACAGGAAGTGCACACACACTACAAACTAAGCACATGCATTCAGTTCCACTAAAAATCTCATAAAACTTACTAAGCATATGCATTCATCTCCACTAAAAATCTCGGAAAACCTAGTAATTATATGCGGTAAAACATTTTATGAATCGAAGCTCTCAGAGAACTTGGTACGTGCTCAAAACCGCCCATGCAAGTTCTAGCCCCAAAGAACATCATCTAGCTGCGGTGGATGCAGGCAAATGAAACATGCCTAAATTTCTCTTATGTTCGGTCTTCTGGACGAGCTCCTCGGTCAGGCCAACACAAAAGTTGAACACTCAGCTAATTACAAACAGAATCAAACTAGTAAATATTCCATGATGAGGGCGTGCAGGAGCTAATGTAAAAAAAGTATTCACCCTTTTTTAACAAGGGAAAGGTGCATGTTTCATTTTAGCTCAAATAAATAAAGTACACCACAAACTACATAGCCAGCAAAGCAAAGTTGGCATCTTGATGAGCTACAAATACAAGGCAAATGCTCTTCCTACGAGCTGAACTGATGCAACGAAGCTGTCTTGTTACTAAAACAAAAGGATTCAGAAAATCAAAACCCCTCAAAAAGAGATGAATCTTTTGTACCAAGCAAACAAATGATAGGTAAAAAGAGATGCGACCCCCTCAAAAGGGTAAAACAAAATGTTGTTGAGTGCCTAGAGCTACGTTATATGCCTTCAGTAGTCACTCAAGTTTCACTTGTTCCTCAACTTCAGGCCATTTTAGAATCTAAACATCTACATTTATGCATCCTAGTAACATCCTCCAATATCAAGAAAACAAGCATGCTGCCTTTGTACATGCCCATCAAAACTTGGACATAATATTATTACTACAACGATCCAAACAAAAATTGCCATGCGAACATAGCAGAGGCAGATATATATGTCTTCAAAATCACTTGGGCGATAAAAAAGCGTCCATGACATTTGCTTAAATAATACAAACAATACCAAACGGTCATATAGTGCCTCCACAGCAAAACCAGGGAATCTTGGGGCTTACTTATGCCAGTTTAGAAGCGGCTACAGAGAGTAGAAATTAAGCAACCAGAATTACGTACAGTTGATATTAATACACAAGTGGTGCCTACTATTGAAGTTTCATTCACCAGATGCCGTCCAAAGATAATCATTAGACAGTCATAAAGCAAAATCATCAATTGCAGTGAAGGTAAGAAGGTAACAAAAAGTGAGGTGAATCTGGGTCGGATGATGCACAACCTTGTCCAATGATGCACACTGAACAACTTAATGGCTTCAACAGCAAATTCATACTGAAAAATTTTGGAGACCAATTCATCATTGGGCGCCAAGACCAATTGCATTCATAAGGGCATCTGAACAGTCCTTGGAGTAGTGAACCGACTTGGCAACACCATGCGCAGCTTCTAGAGAGACCTCACCACAATACTCAATGACCAAAGACTCTAACTTATGTACAAATCCCAGTTCAGCCACTCCGACATCAGTAACGTTATGACACATCCGAAGTGTGAGATTACTCAAGCATGGGGTGTGCGCAATGAAGCGCATCCCAGCATCAGTTACCGCATGGCACAATATAAGCTCGAGTGTCTCCAGATGAGGTGAGGATGTGAGGGCCTTCATCCCCTCGTCATCAAAGAAGTTGGCGTTGTTGAGCACGAGAACACGAATCGGGTAGGACTGAATGAGCACCAGAAAACCCTCTTGTGTGAATCCTATTTCTGATGGCCAGTCACGAGAACATCCTGTAAAGCTGAGGTCTACCATCTGAAGCATACGGCAGTTTAGGGCTAGAGTGTAAAGGCTGCTATCAGTAAATGACGTCCTGGTTTCACAATACCCAACATCACTAGAGTAAAGCTGCAGGTTGAGCCAAAGTGAGATGCTTTTAAGGTTGATGCAGCTCCGAGATAATGCAATTATGTCATTATCATTTAGGGCATGAACATACTCAAGGCAAAGCTTCTCCAGTGCTTTACACTTCCCTAGGACAACACGAAGTCCTACATCTGGCCAAGTTTTAATATGCGCCAACCTTAAATCCTTCAAGCTCTCACAGAAGAAATCGTATACATCCATGCTGTGAGCATTGTACGAGGAGTCATAGACCACATTACCTGGATCAAGAAGATCATATTTTCCTCTTTTCCTCTCAAACTCAAACTTCTGGAGCTTCATCCATCCTGAACCAAACTTTAGGAAGTCATGATGATTGATTTTTTTGCAATTCTTCACTACAAGCTCTTCCAACGATCCATCCCTACCAAGGTATTCCAGCCACTCTACACTGTCAATTTTCTCGCAACCAATGAGGTGGAGAGCAGATAGACTTGTGCAGCCAACTGCAACCGAGAAAAGCCCAACTGACGTTATTTTTGGTGCGGAGTTGAGCCTGAGAGACACCAATGTCTTGCAATAAGCTAAACAAGCAAGCCCAGAGTCATCGATGTGTGAGCAGAAGCTTAAGGTGAGGTCAATCAGCGAGGAACAGTGAGATGAAAACACAGAAAGGCCTTTGTTGTCCAACTGATTTCCATGTCCAGTTATCCAACCAGAGTAATCGATTTCCACTTTCCGCAGATTTGGGAACCGGGCGCAGAATGATGTCAGTGCTTCTGTAGCTGTACAAAGACCGGAACCAACACGGATAGCATCCCTTTGATTCCCCTCTATCTTGTAGAGCTGCTTTGACACGAGGGAAAGGGAATTCAGATCACCTGTCCTGGTGATCCTGTTGAGAATCTCTGTTAGTAGAGCCTCCGGTAGGTCCTCCATCGAACAATTCAGCTGTACCAATCAGGTAATACATATCAAGGTTCAGAAAACAACGGAAAGAGCTGGACTAAAACTTACGGTACATCAGAATAATGCATGTGAAGATAGATGGAGATCAGAATGGTGACAGACACTCATTACGAACAATATATTGCTGACGAAGTTTGGGCATTTCCTGTATCCGTCCAAAACTTGTTTGTTCTTCACAAGCATCGAGATTTATTAAAATAGCTAGCACCTTATCTGTGTCCAGATTGGTAGAAAGAAAAGGTGACGCTACAAGCAGGCCAAATCATTAAATTAAACTAGATACCACCATAAAGTAGCAGAGCCTGAATAATGGACTAACTAAGAGAATACAAGGAAACGAGCTAGATTTGACGCAAGCAATTCTGCAAGAAGACCCACGTGCTGAATCTGAACCAACTTATTTGGAGGCACCTAATTAGTAACATGAAAACCAGAGCATGCAAATTGAAATTGGTACTTGTAGCTCTTGCGTGGGCAAGAAAGAAAGTAGGAAAATCAATCATTTTGACAAAGCCGGCGAGTTCATAGGGTGCAGTTATTATTAATAGATAGCGCCAATCTAATATATGTTCAAAATAGAAATACTAGTATTTGCTGCAACCCTAGGCAAGTACTTGATCAGTTGCAAAAAGCTTACTTTCTAGTACCTAGGAGAATTGAATGGCTTTACAACATTAACGAACTTCAGGTCCAACCAGGCACGCAGAGAGATTTATTAAATTAGATAGCACCTTATCTGTGTCTAAATTGTTAGAAAGAAAAAAAAAATGATGCTACAGGCGTGCCACGCCATTAAATTAAACTAGCTATCACCACAATTAAGTAGCAAGCAGAGCCTGAATAATGAACTAACTAAGAGAATACAAAGAAACGAGATAGAATTGACGCAAGCAATTCCGCGAGAAGAATTACTTGTAATTGCTGAATCTGGACATGAAAAGCAGAGCATATATGCCAATTAGTTAGTAGTGTACTTGTAGGTCTTGGTTGGGCAAGAAGAAAGAAAGTAGGGAAATCAATCAATCATTTTGCCAGCCACAGCCGATGAGTTGAGTTGAGTTAAGTTCACAGGGCCAATCTAATATATGTCTGTTCAACTAGAAATACTGGTTCCCCCCGACAAGGAACAAGAAAGCGAATCGAAAAACGGCGGCCATGTACATGTGAAGTTGGGGAACCAACGCAACGCAGCGAAGAGGGAGGGAGGGGTACCTTCCTTGACCACGACCGGCCGGGAGAGGAGGACATCGCCGCCGCCGCCGCTCGACGTCGTCGAGTGCCGCCGCTTCTTTGATTCGATTCGGAGGAGAGGAGAGTGTACTGTAAACCCTAGCCAGTCTCTCTCTTTTCCAGCAGCGGAGCCGAGGAAGATGTTCCCTCTTGGCCCTCCAGGAATGGCTGCGGGCCGACAAGCTATTTTTGGCCCTCTAGACCGTTTTTTTTTTGTTTGGGAAAAGAACACAGAAAAAATCTGAAAGTAAAAAAAACACTGAAAATATATAAAATGTTCAGAGAATCGTTTAAATAAATAACTAAAATTTCAAGGAGTTGTAAATATGTCCATGTCCACGAAAACAATTTTTCATCTAATTGTTAAAATGTCTAGGATTTTTTAAATGTCCCCGCATGCGAAAAGAAATGTTCATGTGTGACGCAAAATGTTCACATCTACTATCAAAATAAAATAGATGTTTGCACTTATGAAAAACTGGACATGGACATGTATTTTCATAAATGCACTTGTATGTAAAAACAAATGTTCATGTACATCCATAAGAGTATTCTGGAAGGAATCTTACATGTGAAAGGAAATGTTCGTATATTTCAAAGAAAAGAGATGATCATGGTTTGGCACGTGTTCAAAAACAAGTGCTCATGTATACAAATACTCATTTTACCAAGAAAAATACTCCCTTTATGAAGAAAAAATATAAGATCTTTTATATCACTAATATAGTGATATAAAAGATCTTATATTTCTTAACAGAAGGAGTAATAACAAGAAAACTAAACAGAATATATGAAGGATGAAAACAAATGTTAATGAGTAACAGAGAATAGGAATATAGAAATAAAATTAATAAAAAGAATAAGGACAAAAAAGAAGACGACCATTGTTACTCCGCCACAACTCGTGCGTTGCTAAAATGACCCATAGAGAAGGAAAATAGGTGTTATAAAACAGTTAATAATTTGGTTTCATTAGTGCACAAATGCCTACTAACGGCTTTCGTGAAACACAGTTAGGGGTGTTGCAGGGCGACGCCGCTAGTATGACGCCAATGATAAGGTGTCACCAATGGCGTCAGCTATTGACCGCCGCCGCTTGACCTCATCCATAATAGCTGCGATATATAATTAATGGACCGTATCCGCCACCGCTCGACCTCATCCATAATAGCTGCGATAGATAATTAATGGACCATATCCGCCGCCGCTCGACCTCGACGGAGGAGGGTCGAGTGCCGCCGCTTCTTTGATTCGATTCAGAGGAGAGGAGAGTGCAGTAAACCCTAGAGCTAGTCTCATTGGCATTGCATTTCTAATTCGTCTCTTTAATTTCCAGCGGAGCTGAGAAAAATGTGGGCCTCGCTCACATGGGCCAGCTAGGAATGTCTGCGGGCCAATGAGCGCTATTTTCGGCCTTCTATACCTATTTGTTTATGAAAACAAAGAAAAAAAAATCTAAAAGCAAGAAAAAATATATAATTTTCAGGGATTTTTTAAAAAAAGTGGTTTAAATTTTTTGTTTGGAATTTCATAACATTTCCCATTTTTCAATATATTTTTTTAAAATCACGGTTTCAAAAATTGTTCGGAATTTCACAAATGTTCACCACTTCAACAAATTTGTCTATGCTTAAAAAAATTGTTTACACATTGAAAGAACGTTCGTGCTTTCAAAAATTATTTTGAGTTTTCAAAAAATGTTTCCTGTTTTTGAACACTTGTCCACAAAATCAAAATTGTTCACACTTTTTAACATATGTTCCTCATTTTTTTAAATGTACATTGCAGCAACTCATTCCGGTTCACTACATTGGCGTGGTCTGATTCGCTACAATGACTGATTCATGTTCGCTATAGTGGCGGGCACAATTCAGTTCCCTGGCTCCGGTTGGTTCAATAAGGTACGTGTTGCCTTACAATCAACAACGCTTTGTCAGCTCTGGTGGCTAGGTACACGCATTCAACAGTGGTTCGTTACCAAGTTGATTTCTCGCCAGCGCACTGCACTTTTATACGATTTTTTTCGTCCCACAATATCGCTTGATGTGATGCCGCCCAATGGGTAAATAACTTGGGTATAAGGACAATGGAGACATGAGGAGATGAAGATTTATTCGATTTTCACTTGCTGATAAGGAACCTAATCACCGTTGGAGAGGTGCAGGTAACCACGAAGTTCCTCGAACATCACTGAAGGCTAGCATTCTTCTCCTTGAGCCTCCACCACAAAGTTGGTTCTCAATCATTATGTCTATCTTCTTCCTCCACTCCGAAGATGACAAGTTTCACAATGAAACTGCATGGTGCCCCATGTGTTTTTTTTGGGGGGGTAAGTAAGGATAATTAATGGACTAGCGTATATTGAATTATACTTGGGAAAATGAAAGAAGATGGAGTCCTTGTGTGCGACTTGAAGGTTTTCTTGCTTTAGCTTATGAGTTAAGCCATGGAGGATCAATATCCTGAGAAAGATGATTACTGGAGAAGAGTTCAAGTGAAGAATTCATTATGTATCTCAAAACATTGTGATAAGATGAACATAAGCGTGCGTGGGTAATGATGGTGTTGTACGCAACCGTGCCGCTATCGCAGCCTCACTGCGGGCCCATCGCTCCTTGCCAAACTACTTCTCCCCGCTGATACCACACCGTATGTCAAATCAGGATCAGGCAAAGATTCATGTGCAGGAGGTATCCGCCCGACTAGCCTACCCATGTCAACATGTTAATATTTTTTTAAAGGAACACCAGGAATATATTTTTATACACTGGACAATTTCTAGATACATGGCAAACAGTTCTAATTAAAAAAAAGAATTAAAGAGTCAATCTATCTTAGTCAAGGCGCTCGCTCTGCCACAAAGGGAGGCACTGGCAAAATCTAAATAGAAAAGAGATGTTTCCAATTAAACCATAGATGTCCACTTCATACTTAGATGCTAGTACATGATAAACAATTTTGAGAAAAGGATGAATTTCTGAAACACATGATGAAACTAGTAGAATGCCCGTGCGTTGCTACGGGCTACGATGCATGAAGAAATCAAACGTACATTTCTCGCTCAGACGTCCGGACGTGTTCGGACGTCCGGACATCAAATGGGCGCCCGTCGCGGTGATTGCCTTATCGCCATTGGTGCCGACCGCTCGAGGTCGCCATCACCACTCACCAGTCACCACTCGTAGTCTCCGCCAGCTCTCCATCACCTCTTGCGCAACGTGCGCGCGCTGGTCGACTACTGCCCCTCCCGCTCACTGTCCTTGGACTGGTCAAATAAGGCGTGCCTAGAGCTAATGGCAAAGTGCAGTTATGCAGGAGATCCTTATACAATAGCTAATTATTCAAAGCTTCGATCGGGCATTTGATCTTTCAGCAATTTTTGTGCTATAATCTCTAGTTGTGGATATGCTCTGTTGCTACGATGAAAGCAGAATCCATGTATATCAGTGAGAACTTGTTGTAATTCCATATGAACGAATGAAATGTTGTGATTTGGAATCATTTTCTTCTATCATTTGGTACAAATCAGCCGGTTAATCTTAGAAAAAGATCAACCGCATGTACAACCGTCCGATACAACCGTGCATGACCCTTTGATTATCTCCATCTTCCCATCCTACTCACGCATCAGGCAACACCCCGTACACTTCCTCTCACATCACACACTCTTCCACTCGGCCCGCACCAGCAAGCGTCCAGCACGTCCGCCACCATTCTAGCACAAAAATATGCCTTCAAAG